ATGTGGCTCAGATATGTGAGAGGAAGCGTTGTCAAGTCTCTGGCAGCAAGGAGTAAGCTGGAGAAGCCATGTTCTGAGGAACTGTTCATGATCTTCATTCAATGTTCCATTCATGTGTTCAGGACAGTTCATGTATTGGAGAAATCATTAACTGTTGATGACATTTGAGGATATTTTTTAAACAACGTTTTTTGTGGAATCCCTTATGCGGCCCAGCCTCACCCAGACTCTGCCTCCAGCAGCCCCCAGGTAAATTGAGTTTGAGACCCCTGCCTTAGACTCTCCTTTAAATCCCTACATGAATTGTCTCATCTCAATAAAGGATTTCTTTTGATACGTTTGGTTTTCAGAAGTTCATTCTTGTTAATTGGATGGGAAAAGTTCTGTAGCCTGACATAGACAGAGAAACTGGACCTTTAATTAAGTATTGCAGAATTTATGTTTGGTAAAGTTTATACTAATAACCCATTTTTAAAGTGGGAACATTGACTCTATTGATGAATTGGCATGCAGCTAAAGAAATTGAGCTTTTATGGAAAAATAATGATGCATTTCATATCTCATTGCAGAGATGCACTTTGCTTATATATCAGTGAACTGAATCATAGTGAATTTATTTATCTTAAAGAATTGCTTATTTCATTGCAGTGACTCGGGTGGTATACAGAGATTAAAAATTATCAGAAATTTATACCAACATCCCAAAATAAAATCAGAACATCAATAGAGCTCACCTAAATGCCTATTTTAAAAGCCTGACCAAGTATATTGGCCACCAAATGGAATGGAAGGGAGAGAAAGAGGACAGAAATTCTATCCTATAGACATATGTTCATGATTTGTTTCAGAGAATCTCAGAAGAACTTACAAGAAAAGTAGAGAACAAAAGAAAACCTATTAACAAATTAACAGAGTTGGAAGGAACCTTGTGGGTCATCTAGTCCACCCCCAGTCCAGGCAGGAGACCCTATACCATTTCTGACAGATGGCCGTCCAGTCTCTTCTTGAAAGCTTCCAGTAATGAAGCTTCCACAATTTCTGAAGGAAAGTTGTTTCATTGGTTGATTGCTCTGTCAGATAATTTCTCCTTATTTCTAGGCTGAATCTCCTTTCCTTCAGCTTTCTAATCATCTTGGTTGCTCTTCTCTGCACTCTTTCTAGAGTCTCAACATCTTTTTATTGTGTGATGATCAAAACTGGATGCAGTATTCTAGGTGTGGTCTTACTAAAGCTTTATAGAGTGGTATTAGCACCTTACTTGATCTTGATTGTATTCCTCTATCAATACAATTTAGGATTGCATTGGCTTTTTGGCTGCTGCCACACACTGTTAGCTCATTGGTTGCTTACTAAGATTCCAAAATCCCTCTCAGAGCTACTAAGCCTGGTTTCACCTAGTTTATATGTGTACATTTGGTTTTTCTTGCCTAAGTGTAAGACTTTACTCTTCTCTACATTGAATTTCATGTTTTTAGATAGGGCCTTACAAGGTTACAGCTCGTTCTATTGTGAAAATCACTTTTAATCATTAGAATGTTGTTGCACTCTATTAGGAAATCACATTGCTGAGTTCAAGTCCTTGACACAAATTATGTCAGTATCTCAGCAGCTGGATATGCAATACCAAGTATTGTTATAAATTTTGAATCCGTAATGCTCATTGAAATTTGTGACCAATTCGATAAAAATCTACTGTTTAATATTAGATATGTTGCTGGTTTTGAGATTAAAGCCTTTTTTAAAGAAATAAGATCTGACAAATAGTATCACTTTCTGTAGTTCAGCATCAAAAAACCAGACAACACAGTTCAGTTTGAAGCATTTATCCTTGAAAGTGTAAAACCTGGCACGAAGCGATCAACAATCCAAGAAGCAAACAAAGTGCTAACTGCAGTTTATCCCTTCAACCTTAAGTATGTGCATGTATCCCACCCCCTGGCGTCCCCTAACCTGGTGTCCACCCACAATTAATCCAGCAGAATCTTCATGTGCTCGCCTGCCCCACCCCCTGGCTTCTCAGCTGATTGCAGGCTCTCCAGACATGGTGATGGTAGGTCATCCCCTCCCTGAATGGCAGCCCTGGGACAGTTTGCTTGCAACTGGTCATTTCAGGGCTGACAAATAGTTTTTGCAGTGTGACTAACAACATTTAGAATGTTAGTAGACAAGTTATTAATAACTAGATGACCCATGACGCATGTCTTTGTTTTAGAGATATTTATTTACCAGATTCCTTCATTCTAATGTACTTGAAAAATTCTTAAATATTCAGGGAGATATTCAGAGCTGTTTCTACCTTGAAAATAGCCTATATTGGACTGTATAGCCCAGTCAAACAATAAGAGTTGGCCACAAGAAATATGATATTTCTTTATTATAGTAATAAAATGCTTTTTGAAATTTGCTAGATTTCAATTCCATAGGAGTCCCGGATTTTGGTTTTTAGATGCATTGGTTATGTTAGCCTATTTCAAGTTTTGTCTTACACAAAAAAATATTTCTTTTTTAAAGATTCAAAAAAGAGAGTTTTCATAATATATAGATCAGTAATGTAAGCCATAATGCAAAGCCATGTATATAGTAGAGGATCTGATTTAAGAATGAAATTTATCATTAAAACAATTATTCCATTGTCTAATGTAATATGTGATCCTATACAAAATGAAATAAAATTCAAAATAAATAAGTGATGGCATCAATACAGGATTGCATTCAAAGAGAAGCTTAATTTGTCCCGCATAATTATTAGTTATATATATCTAATTATATAGTTTTATGGCAGTGGTGTATTGGAGTGTAGGAAGGGAACTACACTGAGACAGTTTTGCCATTGAAAGACCAGACCAGAAACCTCTACTGGGACAAAGTTACCATTAAAAGCTAGACCAGAAATCAAATAGATAATAAACTACACTCAAATGCAAACTTTATCCTACAAATACCCCAAGCTAAAGAAATTAAAGCTCTAAGCATATTAGAATAAAAAAACCATTGAAAATTGCTATAAAACAAAATATCCAAAAGAAATAAACCAAATTCAAGTGAGAACTCTAGGCACATTAGAAAGGAAAGCATTTATAAAATATCAGAACCATTACAGTGTACAAAAGATATATTAAGAAACAAGACATGAAGGAATTAAATCAGGATGGAGAGAAACAAACCTGAGGCGCGGGACATTGGAAAAGAAACAAACACAAAAGATTAACTTAGTTTTTGCAACATCCTGGGCTTTCTATTCGCATTTAGCTAACACAAAAAAATTAATTACAAAGAACAAACATTATCCAAGGGCTAAAAAGGAAGGTTGGATTATAAAAAAAACAAATCAAGCACATTCAACACATTCACTCACTTTCCTCCCCACAGAGATTACCCTCAGGGTAGAAGGACACAATCACCAGAAGGATTAAAGCCAGTAACACAACCACAAACACAAAACCCTAAAGATCAACTTTAGAGGGAGAAAAGGGTATAAAAAGGTATACTCATAGTTTAGAAAACAGGCTACCCCACCCCTCCCCGGTGAACGTTGATCTTGCCACTCACTTGCCTTCCTGAGAACAATAAACTAGTTCCAGCTTTCACACAGCTAGTTTCAAATCCTTCCATCCTGCGTCTTCCCAGCTGGGAAATTCAAACCTGCAAAAGAGAAAGGCATTACCTTTCAACAGTGTGTGTATGTGTGTTTGTGTGTATATACATATATAGTGTGTGTGTGTGTGTATCTATGTCTATATCTCTCTCTATAACTATATATCTATATACACACACACACACACACACATATATATGTACACACACACACACATATACAATATGATATTTTATTTTCAATCAATTAGCGAAGATTTTTAATGGGATTATAAATAATTGCTGAAAATGAAAAATAGGTCATGTAGACAAATAAATTTTAAAAAGATAAGAGCGATATAGTACAAAATGAATATTCATCAATAGATGTGGCATAAGCCAGGTTTCTAAGGTCTGAATGAAAGTGAAGGAAATTAATAATATAAATGTGATGGAGTTGTTCATTGTGTTTCACCCATCCTAGCAAATAGGCTAACTTGATAAAGTGTGGTTCTGGTAATATGGGCTAGTACAGTGATGGTGAATCTTTTTGTTGTGTGCTGAAAGTGCACGCATGTGCCAGCACCCACAATGCAATGCGTCCCAGCTGATTTTCAGCTCATTTGAGGCCGTTTTTACCCTCCCCGAGGCTCAAGAGAAGCCTCTGCAGCCTTGGGAGGCCAAAAAATGGGCCCTTCCGAAAATACCAGAAGTGCCCATTTTCAGCCTCCAGAGGGCCTCTGGAGCCCAGGGGAGGCTGTTTTTGCTTTCCTGGAGGCTTGAGGGAAACCTCTGGAGCCTCGAGACGCTGAAAACAGGCCCATTTTAACACTTCCGGTATTTCAGGAAGGCCCATTTTTCATCCTCCTGAGGCTGCAGAGGTTTCCCTCAAGCCTCTGGAAGAGCGAAAATGGCCTCCCCCGGGTTCCAGAGGCCCTCCGGAGGTTGAATATGGGCACTTCCGTTATTTCCAGAAGGCCTGTTTTTTGGCCTCCCAATGCTGCAGAAGCTTCCCTCGAGCCTCCAGGAGGGCAAAAACAGCCTCAAACGGGCCAAAAATCAGCTGGGAGCTGCGCGCATGCACAGTGCAGGTAAGTTTGGCTGGGACTCATGTGCTTGCACAAATGGCTCTGCATGCCACCTGTGGCACGCGTGCCATAGGTTCACCATCATGGGGTTAGTATGTTCAAATACAGCTATTGATATATTTTATTTGTGGTAGCAGTGAAGGTTGAATATAAAAGAAAATTGCTTCCATAAGGTCTACTACTGCACTAGTGTTACAGTAATATAATGGAAAAGAAGTATGTTAAACCTAATCTTAAGTTTGTTATATATTTCACTATATTGAATATTCTTTTTCCTCTTGCAGGTGAATAATCCTTCATGATCAAGAAATTATTAATTTTGTAGATTCAGTATTAATTATTACTGAATCTACCTGAGCTACTTTGATTCTATGGAATAATGCTGAAATTCCAGGAAACAGTTAAGCATGGTACATCATTTATACCTATTTCTATCCACTCAAAAACACTGATTGCAGGAAGATACAATATTTATCAAAAACTTGGACGTGGAAGTTTTGGAACAGTTTATCTGGTTTCTGACAAGAAAGCAAAAGAAGAACAGTTGTAAGTGTTGCCTAAAATGACTTAAAACCGCTAATATACATTTTTGCTTAAATGAGAGAAAAAGATAGAATGGAATAATATTTATTTATAAACAATATTTAGTCAATTTTCACTGGTATTAAGTCTTTGCAGCCATACAGATAAAACTGGTACTGTCTTAAATAACCAGCCAAAGTAAAAAATAACCAGCTTCAAAATAGTTATGTCATGAATTATATTAAGACATATATAATTCCAGCATTATACATATTTTGCATGTATTCTTCTGTAATATGTTTCTTCTATTCATAGTTCATTCATTTTTAAAGGATTCAGCTTGATCTTTACTGAACTTGTACATAGTAGCTTACCATTCAGTTTTCTATCTGCTAATAAACTCAGAGGAACTGTTGTGTCTCCTTAGCAACTATTGCAGCCCCAAATTATTTCTGCTTATTTTGAAATAAACTTAACAAATTTCATTTATGTATTTATAAAGTTTTCTGAGGTTGTGGTGTGTAACTCAGAAAGAAATCTTAAGTTCAAAGTGACTAGTGTGATGAAAAAGTCAATTGTGTGTGCCATATTTACTAAAAACAACAGCTCCCAACTGCAGCACCAGTGTGCGTGTGCATGGTTTCACATACTACCTACATCTCTCATATGCAGATGAAGCTTTGGTTGCTTGCCCTGAGCAGTTCCTAACAGGCTGTGGACCGGGACCGATCCCCAATCAGTGTCTGGAGACCCTTGACTAAAAACTAAACTCTCCCTTAGAAGTACAGGTAGTTCTTGATTTACAACAGTTCATTTAGTTACAGGTCAAAATTACAATGTCACTGAAAAAGTGACTTATGACCATTTTTCACACTTATGATCATTGCAGCATCCCCATGGTCACATGATCAAAATTAAGGTGCTTGGCAACTGGCTGATATTTATGAAGGTAGCTGAGTCCAGAGGTCATGTGTTCATCTTTTGTATACTTCTGAGAAGCAAAGTCAATGGGGAAACCAGTTTCACTTAACAACCGTGTTACTAATTTACCACTGCAGTGATTCACTTAGCAACTGTAGCAAGAAAAGTCATAAAATGGGATAAAACTCACTTAACAAATTTTATAGTACTCCAGTAAATATGAATGTTATACATGTTTATGCTCCTACGGCTGACAGTGATGAGGCTTTAGAGAAGTTATATGAAGATATAAGCAGTGCACTGAAAATCCTAAAAAGTAATGATATCACAATACTCATGGGGGACTTCAGTGCAAAAGTGGAAGAAGGAAGTGATACTCCTGTAGTTGGAAACTTTGGCTTAGGAACCAGAAATTGTAGAGGTGACAGATTTGTAGACTTCTGCAAGGAACATAGGCATTGTAATGAATACTTTTTTCAAATTACCAAAAAGATGTCTCTACACTTGGAAATCACCAGCAGATACACGACATAATAAAGTAATGAACCAAACTGACTATTTTACAATAAACAAAAAATATAGAAACTCAGTAAAATTAGTAATGATATTCCCAGGTGCAGATTTCCATCCGATCATAATCTATTACTTGCTGAAGTCCATCTAAAACTAAAAAAGATGAAAAACCCGAATCTTCCTAAACTGAGAATTGACAGTAACTTCATTATTAAACATGGAGATAAGATAAAAGAAGAACTAGAAATTCATTTAAGAGAAACCAACAACTTAAATAATAAAGATGTAGAAGTGAATTGGAATACATTTAAAAATGCAATAGTAGAGGTAACAAACTCCAAACAGAGAGGGGGTACCACAAAAAAACATCAGATGAAATTCTTCATCTTATGGATGAAAGAAGCTCTTATAAAAATAAAAACAAAGAAAAATACAATGAATTGCAGACAATAATTAGAAAAATTCAACTGGCAAAAGAAAAGTGGTTTGCAAAGAGATGCAAAGAAATAGAAGAGACAGAACATATTCATGATCATTTCAACTTACACAAAAAAGTGAAAGCAGCAGGACTTTACAAAAAGAAAACCAACAACAACTTAGTTGACAAGGAAGGGAAAATTATCTTAAATGAAGGTGAAAAACTAATATGATGGAAAAAATATATTGAATAATGTTTTGAGGATACTAGAGGTGATATTGATATAGGAAAAATAACAACTGGACCAAACATCATTATGGAGGAGGTTGAACATGCAATAAAAATAGTGAAAACAAGAAAAGCCACAGGTCCTGATGATATTCCAGTAGAAATTTTTACTGGAAAAAATTTTTTTTTTACTGGCAGCTCTTCAATCAAATATATGAAACAGGAAAGATACAAATGATTGGCTAAAGTCAACTTTGTGACAATCCCCCAAAAAATAAATGCAAAGAAATGTACTGAATGCAGAACAATAAGCTTAACGAGTCATGCCCTGAAAATATTCCTGAGAATAATTGATACAAGAATATACAAAAAAATTGAGGAGCATCTAAATAACAAACAATTTGGTTTCAGAAACAATCTTGGTACACAAGAGGGCCTATTCAGCATTCAAGTTCTTGCACAGCATTGTAGAGATGTCAATCTCAGGGTTTACATGTGCTTCATTGATTTTGAAAAAGCATTTGATAAAAGAAGACACAACAAACTATTACAAATCCTGAAACAAGTGGGACTAGGTGACAAAGACATCCAAATCATAAAGAATCTATATTGTGAGACGAGACTGAAAATACTTAGATGATGCAGAAATGCAAAGAGGGGTAAGACAGGGCTGTGTTCTGTCTCCACTATTGTTTAATATCTACTCTGAATTAATTTTTAACGAAGCATTAAAAAACATAGATGCTAGCCTTAAATAAATGGCATTTGTATCAACAATTTAAGATATGCTGATGACACAGTTCTGCTTGCCAGTGTTCTGACCCAGGCTTCGTCAAACTTAATAAAACACAAGCTGAATTTAAAAGTAAAACTTTTTTAATGTGATGCTGGGAATTACTTGAATTCCCAGCCAAAACTCATTATACACAGTTCTTCTAGATAAGAGCACGCTTTTCAGTGCTGTCGAATGCTGCCAAGAAACAGAAGTTCAATTAAGGCTAACATAAACCAACCCAAAAACCTAGAAAAAACTCGGAGATTATTCAACTGTTTTGCTTCCTGCAAAGCTCTTCGTCATTGAGGACTGACTTTTATCCCTTCTGGGAGGGGCAATCCCTACTCTCAAGTTGCCCCTTCTGCTTTAGCTGCTCTCACCTTCTAGCAGCTATGTGCACAGGGGCAGAGGGGGAGGCCAAGCAACTGACAGGGAATGGCAGTGTGGCTCCGTTAGCTGTGGAAGAAACTGGGGAAGGGCACAATCCAGCTGGGCAGAGCAGGGGAGAGGTAGAGCAAGGGAGAGGGAATTCGGAGGAAGACCCAGGCCCACCCCCTCTTCATCCTAGGGCACGCAGGGAGGAATGGAGAAGGGAGCAACGTGAGTTGCATGGCTTATGGTGGAGGAAAGGGCCCTGATTCCCTTCATTAGCTGCAGCTGGGAACATAGTGTTTAAAAAGGAAAGCTGCGCACAGCAACTTATTGGAAGCAAATCATGAGTTATTGTCATATGTTATTGTCGAGGCTTATCTGGGCTCCTGGTGTCTTCCCAACTGTGTGTGTTTTGTTGGCCTTTCAAGTCTGCAATTCCTTATCCTGCCCTGTCAAGTTAATTGCTGCAGCGTGATTTGTGTGAATTTTTATTTACAGTTTGTATTAACTTTGTTTTCGGACTGAATTTCTTCCACTTAAAGACTGTTCTTGGGAGATTTTTTTCTCCAGCCGAAGTTAACCTGGACATTGGTGGCAAAGTTGGAGTATTAAAGGGACTTTTCTTACTTATGTGACTGTGTTGCCTTTGTGCCATCACAAAAGCTTGAACATGATCACTGCAGTAAAAACAAGGATAGAGAAAGCTCGAACAGCATTCTTCAAAATGAGAAAGGTCTTCTGCAGTCATGACATTGAAGAAATCAGGCTTGTCAGATGTTACATCTTTTCTATCCTGCTCTATGGAGTGAGTGACAGAAAGTCAAAGCAGACTAGAAGCATTTGAAATGTGGATTTACAGGCAGCTGTTATGTATAAGTTGGGTTGATAAAATCAGAAATGAGGAGGTGATAAGCCACTTGGGAAAGCCAAGGGAAATCATCAAAACCATAAAAAAGCGAAAGTTAGAATATTTTGGACATGTAATGTGACACCCAGTAAAATACAGCATACTTCGCTTAATTCTCCAGGGAAAGAATGAAGGTAAAAAAGGTCCAGGCAGAAGAACATCATGGCTTCAAAATATAAGGGACTGGTTTGGACAAAACTCAACAGAAACTTTTTCATGTGGCAGTTGATAAAAATAGAATCACCAACAAGATCGCCAATGTCCGATGACAGATATGGCACAAGAAGAAGAATAAATGTTTCATTTAGCAACAGAAGTTTTGGGCTCAATTGTAGTTATAAGTTGAGGGCTGCCTGTATTTAGAAAAAAGATAAAAATGAATTGCCAGATCTTGTGCTATGATCTAAATCTATTGTTCATGCTTCTCTTAGAATGCCATTCATTCTTCTAGTTCATCAATGATATTATAAAGTTGGAAAAGTTTGAGAAAATACAACAAAGTTGATTGCTAAATTGGTTCAATTTCCCTATGGAACAAGTACAACATCTAGAATAATTATATTAAAAAACAGTATGCAAGAATAGAGATATTTATAAAATTATACATGGTTTATATAAAGTGTTCTGCCTCAAAAAATATAAATGTATAATGAAACTGAACAAGAGACATAGAAATCTGAAGAAAGGACTTCCTTAACAACATAGCCTGATATATTCATTTAATTACAGTATATTTTAATTTTAAATTTTACGGATAGTTTTCTTCATGCATCTAAAAGAGCTAGTTGGTGTAGAGGTTAAGGCATCAGGTTAAAATTGAGGAATTCTGGAGTTCTAGTATTTCCTTTGGTACAAAGGAAGCTGGGTGACCATTGGCCAATCTTTCTCAC